TGTAAAATGTCGAGATATTAATTTTAAAAAATCGATCAATAAGCGCATAATCCGCGTAGTTAGACCATAAGATGCTAGACTTCATTTATTATTTTAATCTTTAATTCTTTTGATTCATATGTTATATAACGTATGCGTGTATCGGTAGTAATAATACGCATGTTACAGCAAGTAGCGAATGATTTTGACCTTGTATAAAGATCGTGTTACTCTCTTATAATATAATAAAGTGCGTATAATTTCGTATAATTATTTCACGATTGAGAATCTCGTGCAAAGTGTCCCATTTCGTGAATGAGTAAATGCCACGAGAGGAAATAACGATTACGAACAAACAACGAAAGATATACAAGAGAAAAAAAAGAATTCTGGAAAAGCATCAGACAACGTATAGTATGCAGTAAATAATTTATACAAATTATTTGTCATATTTATATTAATTTCAAAATGAATATATTACTCGTTTTTTTTCATTTTATACTAATTCTAAATTATCTATAATATAACGTATAAAACATTCCAGATTTTAATTTCAAATGTTTCAAATTATAAAATAAAATCAAATCAAATATTTTTATACGAGATACATAAGTATTATATTTATAGATATATTAACATTTAATAGAAACATTAATACATTAATACAATAAAATATTTTTTATAATATATTTATTTAGATATTTCATGTAAGAAGTGGATTTTCTATTCATTATTTTTTGAAAGTTATATTTAAGAAGAAATTTTTTTCGATAATTATGCAATTTATAATATTAAATATTTATTCGAATAAAAATATAGGTTGGATGTAATAATTAATTTCTCAAAATCAATTATTTTGGACATTTTTCTTCATACAATAAGGATCTGTAAAAGTATTGTTTGATTGCATACTTAATTTGTGTTTTTGGCATTTATCAAGAGACACGGTAATGTCTTGAAGTCGAGTCATCACTTAGATGCAAGACACACCGTGTATCTTTACGCGAATGGCTAAGTTGCGAGTAATGCATATTATCAGTTTTCAATAACCGTTGAATCGATCAAATTCTTATTAGATTCAATCAATTGCTTGAATTCGATTTATATAAGGAAAATGTCTTTATTTTTGCTTGTACGATTCGCACATTTGATGAAAGAAACGCTGTGTTCTCGTGACGATGAGAGATGTATAATTTTTTTATCATGCGAGAAATTACCGACTTTAATTGGAATGAATTGATCGGTATATAGTATACTTTCCGATTCACGCATGATGCGCATGAAGTGACAGAAAATGTATAGTTTATATCACGCATATTATTCATTTTCTGTCACTTTATGCACATCATGCGTGAATCGGAAAGTACCCATAGATGTCAATTATTTGAATCGACCATGCATATCGAATGTAATACCCATCCAAATAATTGTCACCTATGTATCGATTAATTTATTGCAATTGCAATCAGTAATCCCTCGCATAAAAAAAATTGGTACACGAAATAAAACTCATCCTATATGCAGTCTCCTGCACTATCACACTATCTAGTAACATTAATAACAGATTTCTAAAGTTATTTAGAGACGATTTTTCTTCATTGAAAATATCGAAGGTTTATAACTAAACCTAAAATTAAAATTTTATTAAAGTGAACTTCACCTGGAATTATAATAATTGAAGAATGTAGCTTTGTTAATATTTTAACTTTACGAAGTTTGCAAAAAGTATATTAAGTAGAGAAGATCGTCATATTTTAATGAAATGACCGGACTGGTGGCGGATTCTTTGCTTATTTATTTGGATATTTAACATATCTTCAAAAATTACTTTTTTAAAAAGTAAAAATATGTTAATTATGTGTCAGTATTAAATTGTAAAAAATTTTATATTATTGTAAAAAACTGTTTTATGCACAAGACATAGTATTATTTAAACTACAAAAATGTTACATTAAACAAAGTTAATGTGCAAAATAGTTATTTCTTAATTGTCTACAAAAATTAGTGATATCCTAAAAAAATTACCTTTTCAAAAAAAGGTAAAAAAAGGAAGTCGAGTCATCTCAGTAGTAAAACATTATTGTATAAAACTATTTTACAAAAAATTATTTCAATAAAAAATTGCTGTATTAAAAAAATTGTGTAAAATAGTTGTCATAATTATCTACAATTAAAAAACTCCACGCTGCCAAATTTATTTGTATATTATTCAGCAGCGTCGAGTTTTCTAATAATTAAAATTTTTTAAATTACGATGTATGCGTAAACAAACTTGTTTAATTCCGTTTCTAACTGTGAACTTTAACTTATGTCGATAGAACTTTTCAATGTTCTGACCATTCTCTCGGCTTGACGATTTGATTGTGGATGCCCAGGAAGGATGGTACGCAGGTGAAGAATTCTAAATTCGGCGCACAGTTGCGTGAATTCTACTGATGTGAATTAAATACCGTTATCTGAAACTAGTACTTCAGGAGGTCCATATCGACTAAAGAGTCTTCGCAGATATTGACATGTTGCTGCCGATGTTATTGTTGAAAATCCTGCTTCTACTGAATTTGGAGTAGTTGTCGACAATGACGAGTACCCATTGTCCATGTATCGGGCCTGCGAAATCAATGTGAACATGTTTTTAAAAATAAAAATGTTTTAAAAGTGAAATTTAAATTATCAAAATTATCTTCAAAAATATTAAAGAAATTGCATAATTATTAACGTTTAAGAAATAACATAACATGTTATATTTTATTTTAAAAATTAAAAATATATATGTATTAAATCAAATATAATATTAAATCTAAATGTTAATGTTATCAATATCATATTATTATATCGATGTCATTAAATATTTGAATAAATGGAATATTATTATTTGATATTAATAGGATCATAAATTTGTAAATTATAAATTTGTAAATTGTAAATTATAATAATATAGCTAATAGTATAGCTATAATTGTATTTTAATTATAATCTAACATTGATATTTTAATTGTAAAATACAATACAATTATAACTATGATTATATTATGTGAAATTGTATTTACGATTGTAAGTTCTTATGTAAATTACACGAAAAATTATCGAAAGTATACGTATAATGATTATATAATAGTAATTAACATAATAACAATTCATTAAATTAAAGTATTTGTTTCTGAAGTATATATTTTTGGAATATTCATAAAAGAGTAACTGTTTGTATTTTCATATCAAAGAGTCATTAATAAATTCGGAAAATTTTTATATAAAATATAAAAATTCGATGCTAAATTAATGATTAAATATAAGCATTATAAAATTTGACGGACGCCTTCATTACAGAATTGCGAGTCAATTATTATAAATTTAATGACATGCTTTGCGTTAGCTTTTTTTATGAATTTCATATCGCGCGGAACTGAATATACTTAAAATAAATTATTAAATTATGATTGCAAAAATACCGTGTTCTTTCCGCGTTTTCTTCACGTCCGTATATAAGATTATCATTTTAACAGAAGAATTTTATCGCTGTCTCTCTCGTCAGATAACATTCCTAAATATTGCTAATTGAATATAAAGCAATGTCGAATAAAAAAGTGAAGATTTGATGTGATAAGTCGATTAAATATTAGCTTCACAAAATTTAACGATCACTTTTGATATTATAGGATCACGAATTAATTATTATGAATTAAATAATTTTGATCAAATCATTCAATTCTCTATTAAATGTGGCGATTTTTTAATTATATTTTAAAGCTTATAAAGCTCATTTTATTTAGGTAATCATGCGCGAGATAGAATGTATTTTATTCTCAATCGCGAAATTCGTATAAAATCGCGTATTAATCACAAATAAATTGGACAGTGAATTTTATGTTCATAAACAATACGGACCACAAATGTTTATCAAAATATTCGTGTATCATCATTTGTGTGATAATAATTATGTCGCGCGCGTATCTATTGATGGTTTTGATTATCATATTATAAAAATTATACGTATATTTCTCGTAATAGAATATTCCGATTATTATCGATTTATTTATTCGCGTTTTGTCGCGAATTTTAAATCGCGATTTATTTAATTGTTGATTTACATCGAAGCTTATTTTATTTTTTCGTATTTTGAATATTTCCTTTGATAATCTACACAAAATGCGCCAGTAATGCAAATACTTTCTTTTACAATCGAAGAAACGATCAATAATTTTATTAATGACTCTTTTGATCACAATTATTTACGTTATATAAAATTTATTAAATTCTATTATCGCATATCGATTATTAATAATAAATGTCGGGTAATTAATCATTATGACATCATTATGACGTCACTAAAAGTCATTTTAAAAAATCATAATCTCATTCATCTCATGATCTCATTTGATATACTTTTGGCACTGTTTTGGTGACTTAATATCATTTTTTATATATATTACGCAATTACTTGTTTATTTAATTATTCATGTATATTTTATTAATTATATTTAAGCAACATGATCTTTTTAAAATTATATAATGCGATTATTGAACTTAAAAATTTATGATTCTTTTTGTCATCTTTACCTCATTTTTTAATCATTTTTGTTTAGGTAACGTTTAAGTGATAAATAAAATCATGATGACGTCATAATGATGTCAGTATTATGAGTTTCATGTTCTACCTGGGTATGTAAAAATTTTTAATAAATTTTATATTATACGTATATTTTGTACATTTTCGTGTAATAAATTATTCGATGTAATAAATTATTTTGTATTCAATTTCAAATTATATTAAATTTTTTATTTATATAATTTTTTATTTATATTAAATTTGCCGCAACATTGCTGGAATATTCTGTGTTTGCTGGACGTTTTCGAGATATTTTTGCGTTCCGAAACTTTTTGAAGACCCCCTATATCTTTCTTAATATTTCTTTCTCTTTCTTACAATCATCTTTCTTCTTCCTTTTTCTTCATAAATTTGTTTCATTTCTAGCAACGTATTAGAATATCAAATGTCGGTACACATGCCAGGAATAGCCCAGTGGCGAAATCTGTTGTTGGGCAATTCAATTACTCCGCCAGTTTAAAAGGACATACGTGTGCCTCGTAAAATTCCCGTATTGCCACTTGGTGAGTGCACGCGAGCTGCGTGCCTCGTTATAGATCGTTCGTACGAGACGATGATACGTGGACGTGACACGTGTAGATGTGATACTGGACGGTGCTGATTCTTCCATCTCTCTCTGCTCTTCAGATTTATCGTCCTCGGTGAGGACGAAACGTGCAACTGGACGACGAGAATCTGCAGCATCATGTCTTCTAGAAGAAGCAAAGGCGGTCTCCTGGCTAGGGTGAATTTTCCTCTCTATACCGTGCAAATGATAACCAACAGGCACATCCTGGTAGGAGGCGGAGGCGGTTCCTCCAAGACCGGAGTTGCTAATGGATTTGTGAGTTCAATGGATTTTTTTAGCAAGTTGCATCTATATTAAAATAATTGATTGATATCTTGGATTGATATCTTAATTTTTTAAATATTTATTATCAAAATATAATATTTATTATAAATATTATATTATTATAAATATTATATTATTGTAAATATTTATTACATTGAGAAGAACTTCTGATAACGATGTTATCAGAATCTTGATAAACGTCAATGAAATTGGTGTTGATTGTGTATGCTTGCGTTTTAGGAAATTTTTGAATTATCGCACAATGGGACATATTTTGTTGCCGAAGAAGTAACTAGGCACGAAACAGGTCCCAACGTCGTCATGAATTGTGCTTCGTATAGGAGTAAAAGTAAGACATGGATTGTTGCTGGTCAGGAAAGTCACTGTCAATTGTATAATTCTAAGTTAATTTCGGAGAATGAAGAATTCATCAAAGGACCAACAGCGCATAATCTTAGATGCAGAAAAAATAGCGAAAAAGCTAAAGAATCTCAATTACAGCAGGAGAAGATAGAGGAAATTAAAAACAACAATTTCAAGAGCAAGAAATTGCAATTAGTCCTGGAACCTGCCGACAGCATACAAACAACTTTTGGGTAAAATACTTTTTTGCATTTAAATTAAACAATCATAAAATGATTAAATTAAAAAATCAAAAAATTGACTGGTTAAATTAAAAAATCAAAAAATATTACTGAACTGATTTGTAATGAGAATTCTTTTGCTTACAGGAATGAAGAACCTTTACAAAGAGTTGTTAGAGTGAGCCCTTGCGGAAGTATTATGGCTACAGGTGGCACAGATGGTAAAGTTAGATTATGGAAATTTCCACAACTGGAGAAGCTGTACGATTTTGATGGACATGGGGACGATTATATAGATGATATAGATTTCAATCCAAATGGCAGTCTCTTAGTGAGCATCGCCAAAGGAAAGGCCTTTGTGTGGGACATAAAAAGCAAAAAGAGCACAGAACTTAGTTGGAAGCCACCGGATGGCATAAAGTACATGTACAAAAAATGTCGATTCAGGGGATTGACAGAGGAGGTGAAGAATGATCTATTTATGCTTACTAATGCCACGACGCCCAAGAAGAATCCTAGTTTCCTTCAGTTGTGGGACATTAATAATGGTGTAATAACCAAGTCGGTTCCTTATAAGGAAACGTTATCAGCTTTAGCTGTTTCTAGTGATGGTAAATTTGTGGCCGTTGGCACAATGACCTCGGGTAGCGTCGACATATTCGTGGCGTTCAGTTTGAGAAAAGCTCTCCACGTTCCTGGAGCGCACAGGATGTTTGTAACTGGTCTGGAATTTCTTCCAACGGACGATGAACTGAACGGTGTTGCGATCACTAGTAACACGGAGACTGCGGTCGTTAGTATCTCTGTAGACAACAGGATCTGTATACACAGCATACCATTCAGACGTAAGTATATCAGCGAGGAAATTGTCTTCTCTTGATATTATCTCTAGAAACAAGTTTATGAAAAATAATAATCTTTTTTCAAATGACAGATACACTGCCATTTTGGTTCGTCATCTTGCTAATAGTCTTGTGCATATGCGGCGCATTCATTTTCTGCAGTTACCTTGGTATATGACCTGAAATGCGCGACCGAGACGATAAAGCCAGACGTCATATTCTTTTAATTATCATATTAGATCGATTATTGGCCGTGCGTACGAAAAATTGAAAATGAATAACAGCTTGAAGTTAAACGCACGATTTGTACGAGTATGTAAAACGGTGAGTGCTCAAAAATCTTACGTACATAAGCGATATGTAGAACTAAAAGCAGGCGTAAGTCAACACAATACGATATAATTAAGTGAAATTCTGAGTGCATTAAATTAAATGAAATTAAATAATAATTATAATTGAATAAATTATAATTAAATGAAATTCTGAGTAACTATGGATGTGCGGAACATTAATAATAGGAATATTCTCGGATCGTTTAGCAATCAGAATTCGCGTTTAATTACCGAACAATAGTTGTATTTGTTACTATACACAAGATAGATTTTCAGGAAATGCGATTTAGATATGAACGTGACGTCAGTCGAGGTGCTACTGTGATAAACAAACCATGTTAGAGTGCTTACAACAGATTAGAACCGCACTAATTAGCATATTGATGTACATATAGATTACATTTTATCACTTTTTAATTGCGCAAAAACAAGGATTTAATATGTGTCACATAGCGATTGTCTTTCTTTCGTGTGCGTATATATTTAAATATAATTTCAATTATGTATATGTATGTATATTTAATTTTACATATATACATATATTTTATATATATATATATATATATATATATATATATATGTATATATACATGTATATATAATTCATAATGCATGCGCGTTTTTATTGTACTTGCCATGTAAATGACCAATCTCTTTTTTTCTCTTTTATATCACGAACGGAGGCATAATATGCATTTATGTATCACTAATTCTATATTCTTTCCTAGTTATATGTTATCGATTGTATTTTCTCTATAAAATACATGACAAATGTTTAAAAAAAGTATTTGTATCGTTTCATACAAATACTTGATACTGACGCAAGGCAGTCAAGGAATCTGTCGTGAATCATACAAAAATCTATTATTAATATATTATATTATTTACTTTCTTAACAATAACTAAGTAAATTTGGTCGTCTTGTCATATTGCGTCAATCGCTCTTTGTATGCAGATTCAGTATATGTTTCAGTATATGGCACAATGATGAAGTAAAAAAAAATTTATCTAGAAAAATCTATTTTTCATTTATTTTGTAAGTAATCCATCACTCGAATTTTTTTTTAAATTCTTTTAAAGAGTTTTTGTAAGAATATTCAAATTTTTATAGTATATTTTATAGTATATTAAAATTCCTTATGAAATTTATTTATTTATTGAACAATCCAAGATATATTATTATATGCAAAAAGAAAAATATAAAATAAGAAGCATAAAATAAAAATATGAAATAAAAAAAAATATAAAACAGCAGTAAATACTGTTGTTATTCAAAGAAAGCCTATAAAAGAAATTAGAGTATTATGAATTCAATGAAACAAATCTATCCGACGAAATAAGTTATGGTAAATTTATGAGAAAGAGAGAGAACATTAGATATACGATAAGAAAAAGAAGTTTCCATATTTTGAAGAATTGCTTTTTATATAAAAGATTTCTACTTGATATAGCAAAATTTTCATCTTATTATTTTCATATATATATAATTTATATAGTAATTGTGTGAAGAATTTTTATATTTACATAATCGAATTGATTATAATATGATAAAGGATTCAAGAAGCAGTATTAAAAATCTCTTGTTAATTTTTTAATTATTATTCTATTTTTAATTATTACTCTAGATTATTAATGAATAGAATTAATCTCTTTATTATTGATGACGTGATAAATTGAATTATTACAACGAATATTTTATTAATTGATTTTCGATTATGTTAATTATAATCTTCGATTAAATTAATCAACGTTCACTCTAAATAAAACGAATGACATAAAATGTTGATTCAACGAATAAATAAGTGAGAAAGGGATAAGTGAGAAAGAGGAAGAAATAAAGTATAATAACCGATTGTTTTTCTTTTCTACGTACGAGTTTTATATTCGGAAATATTTTTAGATTACTAAATATTTTATATATAAATTTTCGCGCGTCGCTTAAATTCTAAGGAGTACATGTTCAAGGAGTGGCACGGGATGATAATGTATATTTATGCTTTATTTTTCGCTCTATTAACCACAAGAGTCCATTATCGTCACGCGTACGTGCGCCTCTAGGAAACAACAGGACTTAATTCGGCAAGGGAGAGGAAGAGGAGGGAAGACAGAGCAGGAAGAATCCGTTATGATTATTTACAAGTGGGACGTCTCCATGGATCGTCTTGTCCTCGTCATTGAACGTCGCGATCCTCGCGAGAGACCCAAGCGAGCTCTCGTTTCGTGGGCGCGAAGAAAAGAAGAGGAGCACTTGTCCTGCTTTTTCCTCTTTCGCGAATGTCATCGGCCCAAGAAATCGACCGCATTGCGACTTTTCCTTTCCTTCTTATTCAGCGCGATTCTAATTTACATAAATAATAATAATAATAATAGTCGAGACTATCGCGGACCTGGAGAAATCGGATGAGAACGCGTTTTCGAGAGCAGAACGCGCTTCGCTCCACTTTACGTATTTGTTCAACGACCTTATTTTCGGCCAAAGTAACGCTTTCTAATCACGATTCCGTCATCTCACTTCGAGAATCATCGCGATTGTTCTTTGCTTCCGTATCTTCTTCCTAGAGTCACGCTTTTAATCATCTCGGCTAATCATCTCGTCTCGCTGATGATGGATCACTTCTTCGCGGAAAAGCCGTCGCCGGTTGGGTCCAGCAGCCACGGATAATTGTTGGGACATTCCATGCAAGTGAAGAGACGCAGGGTCTCGCCTGGCAGCTCCCTGGTCGTCAGAGGACAGGCATTGGGCAGCGAGCAATAGGGTAGACCCTTCTCGTCGCAAGTTTCCTTCCAATCCTGGAAGTCTCTGAGAGCGGACAGTTCGGTGGGCTGCTGCATCCACTTGATCACCTGGAAAGGAAGAGTAAAATGTAGAAAAAAAAGCTGTCTCACTTGGAGACATTAATGGAGAAGCGAACTCCATTTCTCACCTGGACCATGGTGACGAAGTACACATCACTCCTGGCGATCATCTCCTCGATGAACTTGATTAACTCATCCTTATACTCCTTCTTGCTCTTCAACCAGGATGCGTGGAAGTGCAGACCGAGCGGTGCCCGATTGCTATTGAAGTGCCTGTTGAAGTTATGCCTGAGCAGTCGGGCAAACTGTTCGCCGCTCTGTATGTTGGAGCAGGAGTCGACCATGTGACAACCCGGCAGCGATTCGTCGAAGGTCGGATCATCTCTGCGGTCCAGCTCGTTCATCACCATCTCCCAGACCGGATGCGACCTCGACGGACAGTTGCCACCGTTGCCGTTACACTTGTGAGGCATCCTAAAGTACAAGGTGTACGGCCAGATGGGTACACGTCCCAGGGACGCGGTGATGGACGCGTCGTAGACGAAGAACTGATCGGCCATCATCTCGAACTGTTTGTTGCCGCCGACTCTGAGGTAAGGAGCGCGCATACCGATGATGGAGCCATCGGTGATGTTGGCGAAACGCTCGATGATCAGCCTGGCACCGGCCATCTCGGCCAACCAATCGTCGTACGTTCCCTGGCTCCAGTACTGCGGATCCTCCTTGTGCGTTAACGAGAATACGGCGATCTCATGGCCACGTCGATGGAGATCCTGCACGGCCGAATAATTGGTGTACTTGTGCGAGACGAAGAAGGTACCGCGGATCTGGCAGCCGTTCGGGTTCTGACGTTGCCCGTTGAAGATCTCATCGTACAGATCGATGTTGTCGACATTCGCGGCACCGTTGAACGTAATCGTGATCATTTGCGGCACTTGTTGAGGGTCGATGTTACCCGGGATGCGAGTACCGTCAGCGGAACAGTAGCAATCGGGCAGGACGCATTGCGTGGGATCGCAATCGGGAGCGCGATTAGGATCGGTCTCCACGGCTATAACAGAGGCATGTTTAATAACGCGTTTTCCAATTTAAAATATCTAGAAAAATTAGTTGTATTTTTTATTTAAAATTGACTTTTCGTCGCCATTAGCGAGCGTGTGAAAAGGATTAATACAGGGTGATTCATTTTAATCTTAACAGGCAAATATTTTGAAAAATATGCGAGATACGAAAAAATGTTTCAGACAAAAGTTATATGGTTTTAAAGGAGACATAAGATGGTGTTATTAAATTGACTTTAAATAGTTACTTGAAGGTCACATGAAGATCAACCTCAATTTTTTAAATGGAATTGCCTATTTTTTATTACATATTCTTGTAGCTTATCTTGGCAGCTTTCCAAAACACTATAATTAAGTTAGTTTTCATTAAGTACTTTTCGGGTTATGAGGCTTGAAATAATTTCTAAATTTTACATAAACCCTAAAATATCTTGTAAAATATTCATTTTTCGATTAATACTTTTACCTTACCTTAATACTTTTATGTATAAAATAATGAGAGGAATTAATTGGTGTAAAGAAAACACATAGTTGTTTCGAAAAAAAAATGTAATTTGCAATTAACAATTACATATTTTTTCTTAAAAATAACTATGTGTTTTCTTTACACCAATTGATTCCTCTCATTATTTTGTACATAAAAGTATTAAGGTGAGGTAATTGAAAAATGAATATTTTACAAGTTATTTTACGGTTTATGTAAAATTAAGAAACGATTTCAAATCTCATAACTCGGAAAGTACTTAACAAAAATAAATTTAATTATAGTGTTTAGGAAAGCTCTCGAGATAAGCTACAAGAATATATAATAAAAAATAGGCGGTTCCATTTAAAAAATTAAAGGTGATCTTCACGTGATTTTCAAATAACTATTTAAAGTCAAATTAATGACATCTTATGTCTCCTTTAAAACCATATAACTTTTGTCTGAAACATTTTTTCGTATCTCGCATATTTTTCAAAATATTTGCCTGTTAAGATTAAAATGAATCACCTTGTATATCTGAAAAGTTCGTAGCAATTTTCGCATCAACAAATGGATTATGTCAAAGTTGATAAAAACGTATGACATGTATATTACTCGTACATGTATTCTGAAAGGTTTTCTAAAACATTTGTTGCTTTAATAAAAATATATTGTCCGGATTCATCAAGCTTTACGAATTGTGCGCAATTTGAAAAATAAAGGAAAGTGAATTTTTAAGTTGAGTAAAGGTCATCGAAGGAACGATTTATATATCTATTAATGAATACAAATCTCTGTGTTTAAATTGTACAATAAATACATTGCCTTTCGGTGAAAATTATTATAAATTGTAAATGAAATCGATTCGTGTCACGATTGCATACGAATCATAATTGCGATACTCACTGCAGGCATTCTCGTCGGACTCGTCCTTGCAGTCGGGCGTGCCGTTACAGAAGAGATCCTTCTCGATACACTCGCCGTTACCACACGACAGTTTCCCCTCCGGACAAATGGGTTCGTCGGTCTTAAGGATGGGCAAAACTTTACGCGGTTCTGTAGAAAGGCAATTGTCCGTTAGATCCCTCTCATTTGCAAATTAGCTGCCGTTTGGGCTACTCGACATACTTGGGAATTCATCAGGATGACTAATAAAACATCCGGTACGATAAAGCGTCCATTACATTTTCAAATCAATGATTAACGCTAATTAACGCTAATTAATTCAAATATCATTAAAACCGTCAAATTTCACTAAAGGAATTTTTTTTATTAAGGATCGTCTTCTTGATCTTCTTAATCGATATATCGTTAATTATATCAAGATAAATTTTGTAAGAGACATTCTTGCGGCCAGATATCGATTTCCAGGTAGAACATAAAATAATGACGTATCATTATGACGTCACCTGAAAGTCATTTTAGAATCATTTTAGAATCATAATGATCTCATTTATACTTTTGGCAATGTTTTGGTGACTTATTTTTGATATTATATTGACTATGTATATACAAGGTATTCCGAAACTCTTAATCAATCTTTCAAAGACAGATTCCTGAAATCATCTGAAGACGATTTTTCCTCAACGAAAATGTCGGGGCACTAATAATTTTCGAATTATAAGTGATTGGAAATAAGGGGTTTTTCGTAAACTAAGCTTTGTAGAAATAAAATATTAATAAAATCACATTCTTTGATTAATTTTAAATCGAGTTTACTTTAGTTGAGTTTTAATTTAAGGCTTAATTGCAAAGATATATGATGACAAAAATCGGGAACATGCAAAAAATGATGGCCTTCATCGACATTTTCGCTGAGGAAAAATCGTCTCCAAATGATCCCAGGAATTTATCTTTGAAAGATTGATTATGAGTTTTGGGACACCCTGTATATATTATAGTATATATAGTATGTATTTGTATTATATGTATATTTTAATTATATTTAAGCAACATAATCTTTTTAAAATTATGCGATTATTGAACTTAAAAATTTATGATTCTTTTTCTCATCTTTAATTCATTTTTTAATCATTTTTGTTTAGCTAACTTTTAAGTGATAAATAAAATCATGATGACGTCATAATGTCATTATGAGTTTCATGTTCCACCTGGATTAATATGAGATTCTTATCGTTTTATCGGTGTTCACGCAAACAGTCAAGGGTGTGATTGAGGCAATCGAGATTTCGTAATAGACACTTTACGCCCAGTTTACTGCACGAGAGATTCTCATTGGTGGCTGTGTTGTATATAATTCAGGTGATTCAGCTACAGGTGCAATCAAGGCCCGAATGCCACTATCTCCCGTTTATTTACACGCAGCAGCGTAGGAACGTGTGTTGCGTGGACATTTAAAGGGCATGTATTACAATCAATGCAAAAATATGCATGTAACACTGTTAAGTTGGGGGATCGTGCTGAATTAATTCGTGCCACCCAATTCCCGCAGCCTACTTCAGCAAACAATATGATACATCAAATCTCTACTATATATATATATTTTTTTTTTTCGATAGATATAGAGAGTGACGGAATATATATACAGGTAATTCAGGAGGAGATCTCTCTCGAGCTCTCGCGTTTCTTTTCGCGAAAGAGAAAAGAAACGTTTGGACGAACGCGTTCCTACGCCACTGCTTTTACTCGTTTATCCTCCATCGGAATGGCTTTCGTCTCGTTTGTCTTTCGTCCCTTTCGTTTACTTTTGTAAGTTCTCGGTCTTTTTTCTTTTTCTTTTTTTTTTTTTTTTTTTACACTTTGTCTACATTTCGTCGGTCCGTCAACGTATAATAGCTTTTCGTTTAACTCTCCGCGAAGAATATATGTATATATGTATGTCTCGTCCTCTGTGCAACTTCCCTCTATCGTGGAAAAACTATTTGTCTTTCATCCGACGAGCGACTCGAAGATAAACTTTGACTCGGCATTTATCTGCTTTGTCGACTGGCAGCGATGCACGCAAGTCGTTATTCATGTATATGAGAAGTGAGAAAGAAAAATAAAAGAGAGAAAGAGAGAGAAAATGATTAGAAAATGAGTTTTAAAAATGTGTTTGTGTGAGAGAAACGGAGAAGAGCGAGACTGTTGCAAGATGAAATTAATAGAATAAATAGAATGTGAAGCAGCATGAGCGGTACAAAAGGAAAATTAGCCATACTATATCTACTGATGCGACTTTGAGAATCGATCAACGAAAATAATTCCATTTGCATCTCTTATCTTCGTCAAAAATTAAGCAGCTTTTTTCTTCGATAAAATTTGCAGAAATGCATTATATCTCATCTTTTTTTAAATATATCAATACACTGAGAAAAAAATCTGGTTGCATTAATTAGAATTCTTATAGATTCAACCAGTATGTCTGTTGGAAAATGAACGAACTAGAATTATTGTAGGAATTACCACATGAATCTGATTAATTTCTTCCTGTTAAATTTACCAAATTTTCTGGTTAATAATACTAAACTCGCCAGCACCAAGTCGTCTAAAATTTTTTCCATCTAATCTCAAAAGTCTGTTTAATATTCTGAATTCCAACAAGATTATTGGATAAATTCAATCCAGATTATTGAATAAATTTTTTAAATTCAGTTTGTTAGAAATTAAACTGATAAACAGTGATGCAAGAAGAGGATGCAGCTCAACACAATCCGAGAGCTGGCGTCCTCTTTCTGGTACTACTACTCGTAAGAGAAAAAAAATATACTTTGGATTTAATGTTAATACTAGTTCTTTATATACATTTCATGGCAAATATTGAATACAAGTGAAGTTAAGAAGCAAGCAAAGAAATTAATGTAACAAGAAATTTTATAGATCCAACCAGAAAATACTAACCAAATCTTTATAGTAAAATCTATGAAATGTTCTAGTTATAAAAAATCGAGTCTTATCATTATAACCAGAAATTCTTGTTTGATTTAATCAAAATATCTTCAATCATATACATACATCTTGTTGGTACAATCAAACGATTTTTCTCAGTGTACAATTTACTTGATTCTTCGTATAAATAATATTTTGTGTAAGAATTCTGTTGTAATAAAATTGATATAATATTTTGATATACATTTTATAAGAAAATACTTAAAAATAGAAAATTAATAAAAATAATAGGAATAAAATTTCAAGTGTTTTATTACATATAAATATTAAATTTAATTATAACAGAATTATTAAAATTTGTAGATAGAATTATATTCCTGAAGACAAAAAAAACAACAAATGCCTATCAAGAAGTGAAATATTTTAAAAACAATACATTTCTGGAAATTTTATTAAGTGAAAAGGATGCTCATTTTTCAAGAAATACGATAGTCTGCATCCTACTTATATAAAACATCCTGTATATCTCAAGATAGTAATTTTTTATTATTTAAAAATTAATCAACTCTCTTTCTACATATATATTTCATATTCTTTAGTTCGATCGCTATCGCTTTTAATCCGAGAGAAAGCGTGCGACGTCCTACGATCCCGATCGCAACTGCGACAGATTGTGAAACGGAGGCGAAGGAATCTCGAAGCTATTTCTCGTCGTCCTTTATTCATCCTCGTGAGACGAGGATCGACGAAGAAGAGAGAAAAATCTCCCGTGAAGATTAAGCTGACTGCGCGCGTGCTTCGAGATTTCAGTAGTAAAAGCCATCCGGCCGGACAGGAGTCTGGCCGAGTAGCGGGAAGCTTGTATAAGGAGGCCAGATCCGTCGAAGCGAAACCGATCTAGATGCGAAGAGAAAGATCGGCGAACGAATATATGCAATCTCGTACCTGGAGCGAGCGACAGATGCAGGTGGGAGGAGGGAGGGGGGAGCGAAATGGAAAAGGGAGAGTGCAAAATGCGTTAGAAAATTGCGTGCCAATGTTGAATCGTGACATTTGAGACTTGCATCAACGGGTAATGTACGAAATATAAAAGGGATCTTCCGATTGATTTCATCGGTTTGTTCATCCGGCGTTTAATTAATAGCAATTGGATATCGGAATTAATTTGTCCAGCGCCCACGAAGCTGGATATACTATTTCTGTTCGATACTCGTATCGAATTGAAACGCAGCGATGCGTTAAATGGAATTACATTTTGCAACATCGGTGCAAAGATTATCGGGATTATTATATATTATTATTGATGTAGAAAGATTATCAAAGCGCGAATTACAGAATATGTTTGCGTAAAGGTCGCTTTATGGCGATAATCCCTTACAACGGAATGATTTAGTTAAATGCGAAATCTGCTTATTCGGTGATTTCGAGCGCTGTCGTTCAAAACTAGGTACCTTCAACCTGATAAACGAGATACGTTTGACATACGTTATATTCACGAGCGAGAAATATTTAATATCATTTACCGCCTCTTGTGAAGGAATAGTGTCGTAACACGCACTGGCACGCAATTCGATGTCAATGATTCAACGATAGGCCGATATTAAATAAATCTGATGAAAATCGGAATTGGATGAAACAACAAAAATACGACAAAAAAATATTTTATTAAAATTATTTAAATTTATTTGTAAAATTTATTAAAATTATTTAAATTTGTTTATAAAATTTGTCATTGGCAAAATTGTCTCTTGTGACAATCAAGAGAAATTCTTCCATGAGAGATATTTTTAATCCGAAATTATTTATTATAATAAAATAAATGTATAAATATTTTCTCTATTATAATTTATTTTTACTATTATAATTATAATTTTTTTAAATAATTTTAAAGAATAATATGATAGATACACTTTAGAAATCACGAATAAAAGAAGACGATTCCTTCATCCAATTCCATTGGAAAGTGCAACTTTGTTAATCGGTAATGCGTGAATATCGCGTGAGAAAAATAGAATGATAGAGGATTCTCTCTCGAAACCGGATTAACTCGCGATGTTCTCGCGATCGTGGCGTCTCTGAAGCGTTCCCGTTTCATTTCCTCTCTCGTTTGAAATGACCAGACTCTGCTCGATCCCGTTCACACTTTCGCTGAAAATCGAAACCAGTCCCGTCGACTCGTCTCAGAACGAAAGTGATCGAGCGGAGAGTTGATCTCTCGAAAGTATATGGATTCTCAGGTATTTTCGATCGTTAATGCAGCCACTAAAAATTCAAGCTCCCTTTTCTACTCTCCATTTTAGATCCATTTCGCGTCGTATCTCGCCATGTTGCGTGTTTTCCAGCTTAATGACATCGTATGTCGCTGGAAAGTTACATTCGATTCGCGTGGTTCTTTTTCGATCCGCGAGATTCGTTTACGCAACGGGACGGTTGCGTAATATCTCGATTAAGAAAGAATTTCTTATTGATAATTGGGTAACTTTGAAAGAATTTCTTATTGATAATTGACAACTTGTCGAAAGATTTATGTTTGATTGCGACGGAGACTCTGGAAGAATTAAAAAAAAAAATTCATTTCTAACGAGAGGTTTTCAGAGACGCAGGGGATCGCTACGCATCGCGATCGGGATTGCAAAAGGTGCGCGAAGAAGATGATTTCTCATGCGTTAGTTCTAATGGATACACGGATGGTGCGTGCTACGTTGCGAGTCTACTTAGTCAAGGAATCGGCGATGCACAGCCTTACTCTCGAGCTTGTCACAGTTGGTGACTTTGCCCTTCCAGTCGCAGGTCTGTTTGTCCACGTCAAAGGCCAATCCGCTGGGGCACGTGATTTGCTTCAGACCGGACCTTGTACACCTGGCGGAACCGGGACAGAAAACAGAGGGTGCTTGCGTGAGTCTAACTCTGAGAAAAAGACGTGTCGCTTACTCTCGAGCTGATCGCAGTTCTTCACGTTCGTCTTCCAGTCACAAGTCTGCCGCTCGATGTCGAAGGCGAGACCCGTGGGGCACCGTACCGTCGCCAGTCTTGTTACGCCGATCTCGCTGGCCTTGTCGCACCTAGGATCATTCTCACATTTGCACAAGCCTTTTTCGCATTCGCGCACTGAGAAAAACATCTGGTTGCATTAATTAGAATTCTAGATTCAACCAATATGTCTGTTGGAAAATGGACGAACCAGAATTCTTGTAGGAATTATCAGATGAATCTGATTAATTTCTTCCTGTTAAATTTACCAAATTTTCTAGATAATAATAACTTTAACTAAACTCGCCAGCACCAAGTCGTCTAAATTTTTTCCATCTAATTTCAAAAGTCTGTTTAATATTCTGAATTCCAACAAGATTATTGGATAAATTCAATCCAGATTATTGAATAAATTATTTTAAATTCAGTTCGTTAGAAATTAAACTGATAAACAGTGATGCAAGAAGAGGATGCAGTTCAAACACACAATCAGAGAGCTAGCGTCCACTTTCTGGCACTACTGCTCGTAAGAGAAAAAAAATATACTTTGGATTTAATATTAATACTAGTTCTTTATATACATTTTATGGCAAATATTGAATACGAGTTAAGTTAAGAAGTAAGCAAAGAAATTAATGTAACAAGAAATTTTATAGATTCAACCAGAAAATACGAACTAAATCCTTATAGTAAAATCTATTAAACATTTTAGTTATAAAAAATCTTATCATGATAACTAGAAATTCTTGTTTGATTTAATCAAAATATCTTCAATCATATACTTCTTGTTGGTACAATCAAACGATTTTTCTCAGTGCGTAAATATATTTTTGTACACTGACAAAAAGAATGTGGTTGCATTAATTAGAATTCTGGTAGATTCAACCAGTATGTCTGTTGGAAAATGGACGAACCAGAATTATTGTAGGAATCAGATGAATCTGATTAATTTCTTCCTGTTAAATTTACCAAATTTTCTGGTTAATAATACTAAACTCGCCAGCACCAAGTCGTCTAAAATTTTTTCCATTTAATTTCAAAAGTCTGTTTAATATTCTGAATTTTAACAAGATTATTGGATAATTCAATCCAGATTATTGAATAAATTATTTTAAATTCAGTTCGTTAGAAATTAAACTGATAAACAGTGATGCAAGAAGAGGATGCAGTTCAAACACACAATCAGAGAGCTAGCGTCCACTTTCTGGCACTACTGCTCGTAAGAGAAAAAAAATATACTTTGGATTTAATATTAATACTAGTTCTTTATATACATTTCATGGCAAATATTGAATACGAGTTAAGTTAAGAAGTAAGCAAAGAAATTAATGTAACAAGAAATTTTATAGATTCAACCAGAAAATACGAACTAAATCCTTATAGTAAAATCTATTAAACATTTTAGTTATAAAAAATCTTATCATGATAACTAGAAATTCTTGTTTGATTTAATCAAAATATCTTCAATCATATACTTCTTGTTGGTACAATCAAACGATTTTTCTCAGTGCGTAAATATATTTTTGTACACTGACAAAAAGAATGTGGTTGCATTAATTAGAATTCTGGTAGATTCAACCAGTATGTCTGTTGGAAAATGGACGAACCAGAATTATTGTAGGAATCAGATGAATCTGATTAATTTCTTCCTGTTAAATTTACCAAATTTTCTGATTAATAATACTAAACTCGCCAGCACCAAGTCGTCTAAAATTTTTTCCATTTAATTTCAAAAGTCTGTTTAATATTCTGAATTCTAACAAGATTATTGGATAATTCAATCCAGATTATTGAATAAATTATTTAAATTCAGTTTGTTAGAAATTAAATTGATAAACAGTGATGCAAAAAGAGGATGTCCTCTTTCTGGCACTACTGCTCGTAAGAGAAAAAAAATATACTTTTGATTTAATGTTAATACTAGTTCTTTATATACATTTCATGGCAAATATTGAATACGAGTTAAGTTAAGAAGCATGTAAAGAAATTAATGTAACAAGAAATTTGATAGATCCAATCAGAAAATACTAACCAAATCCTTATAGTAAAATCTATTAAACGTTCCAGTTATAAAAAATCGAATCTTATCATGATAATTAAATCAAACTAGAAATTTTTGTTTGATTTAAAATGCCTTTAATCATATACGATTTGTTGGTACAATCAAACGATTTTTCTCAGTGCACAAGCGTGGAATACAACGAGGAAGAGAAACAATGCGTTTAAAATACACAAAGTCTAAGTGCAACATAGTTATAAAAGTTATTATATAAGTTATAAACCAAACACAAACTATTGTTACATAATATGAGTGAGCGATGTTTCCCCATTCTATTAATATGATTTTAACTTGTGATATAATCTCATATATATTCGAGCGAGTTAAAGTTGAATGTAAATGAAAAAATGATGATGATGCTATAATTATGCAACAGAAACAAGCTCTTCGTGGCAATTAAAAGAAATATCAAATGACAGGAGAAATCTCTAAACTGGTCTCGGTTCTTGCGTCTACCGGATCACCTTGAGTCCTGGAAAATTCTAGGATCACATCCTGAATCAATAGGTGAGACAGTTGATGCTATTTTTAATAATCAATAAATAGCTTATCGTCAACTGCGTTCTCGAATTATTATGCTTGTCCTGTCAAAACTGGATGTCCTTGAGACTTACGTTCTCTGCATAAGGAGTTCCCGCGAAAACTTAATTCGTATTTCTTGCGTTTCGTGTAGAGGAGGGAGCATTTATAGAATTTTAATGATTTTAATAAATTTTCTAAAACATCAAAATAACAGCGGGTAAACGGGATTAAATTAATGTAAAGTTAAAATTGGTGCGCCAGCCGGAGAAAGTTTATTCATTGAACGAGCAAGTCTAATTACTTGCCGGCGACCTGTAGAATTAGTAGAACAAGTCGTGGTGCGCAGGCCGAACTGAGTCAACGCTGAGTGAGCGAGTTTTTTCACTGGAAAATCGATTCACACTTTACACGATCCCGTTCACCTGCAGTTTTTACTGTGGATTAAACGTTCCATTATATAAAGCAAGACATATTGCGATAATACAAAGCAGACAAGCAGCCAAGATGTCGAAAGGCAATGCCGAAAAAAATTTCCCCCACTTTCTGTGCGCAAGAAAGTAGAAAAAAATATTATGCAAAGTGATTTCGCGTTCGAAGGATGTCCAAGTGGCTCGATCCGATCCTGCATTCGCGGATAGAATAACGAGATACGACTTACCTCACGACATCGCGACAATCCCCTTCAACGCTCAAGCGAAAGTACTCGTCACCCGGCCTGTCCTGACAAAGTTCCTCGGCGTTTGGGTCAGTCCCGTCGCCGCCTTCTTCATCTTGCGCCTTGACCTGTGTCGCTGCGTCAAAAAAAAAAGTAATTTATTAATAATAAAAATTAATAATTAAAAATAATTTATTAATAATTTATTAAGTAAATTTATATCATTTTCGGATCAAAATTCAATTTCATTTTCTTGTCACAGTTATTTCATTTAATAACTATTACAGATATTTCAGATATTACATATGCAAGTTACACGACTCGATAATAAAAGTATATTTTTTGATGAAATATTTTAATTGTCTTGGTCTTTAAATTGCTGAGAATTTTTGGAATATTTCTTTCGAATTAATTTCCGACAGACAATGATGTAACGTATGTGATCTCAGAAATTGGGAGCGGTCGGCGAGATCAAAGGTACATTTCAATCGAATGTGACATTTCGCGCCGGGACAAAGCAGAGGTGAATTCGATTAATCGTTGAAAATGTCACGATCGATTCACGACATCCAGCTCGCGGTTTGCGATCGGCGATCGAAGAAGGGGTCGACGAACTCCGGTAGAAGTAGAAAGTCTTGGAAATGTCAGAGCAACGGGGGGGAAAGCGACAGTGGTTCTCCAAAGTAGATTCTATCTCTCTCTTCCACTTTGCAAATATTATCGATGCCAAAAAAATTCTTCCTCCTCTTTATTTACAATTTTAATTTCTTTCCTTTAATTTATTTCAAGATATTCTCCTCGATAAAATGTTTAATCACTCTTGCATAATGCAATAATTTTCTTAATAATCCCTCACAATTTGGAAACTAATTTCTTACAAAGTTTCAGAGCTTGCTCCATCAATTTTGACATACTCGACGCGGATTAAGTAAGATTCGAAAATTAAATTTTAATGTGATCGAGAGAGAGAGAGAGAGAGAGAGAGAGAGAGAGAGAGAGAGAGAGAGAGAGAAGAGAGACTATAAATAATGTAATTTTAATAAAAGCGAGAAAATCGCGACGCGACAAATTTTCGCGGACGGATTATTAATTACAGAAATTGTACATACCAGCAAATAGATACAGGGATCCTAGCAAAAATATCAACTTCGGCGACATCATCGTCGTCGTCGTCGTCGTCGTCGTCGTTGTCAGGACAGAGAACGTCTGAACAAGCCGCGCCCTCTCCACCCCTCTATATGTGCACCACCACTCCTGCCGACTTGATCAGGGAAAACTTTCACCTTCTGGTTCGTGCTGCCATCTTTTTCAGGTGGGCATCAGGTAAATGGCAGGAGCGAAATGCGTGCTGTTCTTTACTGAGAAGATTTATGCGACGAGCAGCGGGAGCTTCCAGCTTCCCTCTCTTCCCCATGAAATTAAATTTACAATTAATTAATTATTTAACTATCAAAATTATTACGTATGATAATCGTTTGCTGAAACGATCATTATTGTAATTCTCGTTAATATCGTCGGTTTTTTTGGCTTGAAAAGCCATATGAACAGAGTTTAGTCTGTGCTCAAATATTTAAAGACTTTGATCATCGAATATTGATGCAACAAAGATTTAGTGCTTCTGGAGAGTTGGACGTGGGATAGAATGCAGAATTAATCGCTCGAATTCTGTTTTCTCTACCTGGCCCCTTCGGAAACCATTATTTACCGCTTATCTTTGCACCACCGACTCTTGTCCGACGCGAGGATCATTTTTAACCCGACCGGCTAGCGTCTTCCTCGAATTGGCATCAGGAATGTTGTTATAGTCCGAAAACTGGATTTATCGCGACAACCAAAGAATCGCGTGCTTCTTGAAAAATTGTAGGACTTTACGCGTAAACAACGCAATCGATCATTACGAAGAACAATTTTTCCGTCACACGAGCGCGGTCGTTTATTAAATGATTAAGATCCAAGTCGTGACTTTGGTCGAAGAGAAGTGAAAACGGGACCTTTTACAAAGTTTCATTTTTACGATCGTCATGAAGACGTCCTGGAGGCGTTCGCGAATGAAGTGCTCGTAAACCCGAGAAAGTGTCTCTCCCGCCTCGTTACTTTCATCGGGAACTGCGTTCAAGCTGAGGCCGTTATCGAGAGGAATAGTACTTGACGTATGTTCGATGTTTGATATTAAGAGGTCGAGTGTTACGCACGAGAACGAAATGTAAAAAAGAAAGTCACTTCGATGAGGGGGACACTATAATTCCGGAACGTAATGTTCGTCCATGCACGATGGAAATCGCTCGCAGCGTGCGAATATTAACCGCCCCCGCGCATTTCCGTGAAATGGCTAGCGCGATTCAATCCCTTTAAGTATATAACCGTGAGATGTGAATTCTTCCGGAAGTAATATCATTTGCATGCGCAACGAGGTGAATGCAATTTCCGCGTATCGAGAGGCCTTTTGACCTTTCGCGAATTTTATACGCGACGCTCGCGGGAACAAACAATGAAATACATTTCGACAAAATGAAAATTGAGTCTCGGGAATACAGTTCATTTTAATATCAACAGGCAAATATTTTAAAAAATATGCGAGATACGAAAAAATGTTTCAGACAAAAGTTATATGGTTTTAAAGGAGATATAAGATGGTGTTGTTAATTTTACCTTAAATAGTTACTTGAAGGATACGTGAGGGTCACCCTTAATTTTTTAAATGGAACCGCCTATTTTTTATCACATATTCTTGCAGCTCATCTCGAGAGCTTTCCAAAACACTATAATTAAGTTTATTTTTGTTAAATACTTTCCGAGTTATGAGGCTTGAAATGATTTCTTAATTTTACATAAACCGTAAAATATCTTGTAAAATATTCATTTTTCGATTGCCTCACCTTAATACTTTTATGAACAAAATAATGAGAGGAATCAATTGGTGTAAAGAAAATACATAGTATTACATTTAGTAATACATTTTAAGAAAAAATATGTAATTGTTAATTGCAAATTACATATTTTTTTCGAAACAATAATGTGTTTTCTTTACACCAAATGATTCCTCTCATTATTTTGTGCATAAAAATATTAAGAAGGATAATCGAAAAATGAATATTTTACAAGATATTTTACGATTTATGTAAAATTAAGAAACGATTTCAAGTCTCATAACTCAGAAAGTACTTAATGAAAACTAATTTGATTACAGTGTTTTGGAAAGCTCTTGAAGCTACAAGAATATGTAATAAAAAATAGGCGGTTCCATTTAAAAAATTGAGGATGACCTTCACGTGACTTTCAAGTAACTATTTAAGGTCAAATTAATGACACCATCTAATGTCTCCTTTAAAATCATATAACTTTTGTCTGAAACATTTTTTCATATCTCGCATATTTTTCAAAATATTTGCCTGTTAAGAGTAAAATGAATCACCCTGTATATATTTTAATTAAAACCATGCAATAAGGCAGAGGATTATTTCTCTCGCATGAATCGTGCAAATAATGATAGTCAAAATTAATCAGAAGATTACGAGCGAGGGGAAATATGTGTGTTACAAGGAAATACAGATCCTCTTCAATGAATGATAGCTTGGAGAAAGAACATATGTACACAGAATCAATCAGATAGGTAACGCAAAATCACGTATTGAACACACTCTCTGGTACGGAAGATCTCACTTCCTACTTAATAATTGCACATCTCGAGGCACACGCCTGACTTGCGATATGAGAAATTACACAACGTTAATAGTGTAGAGAATTCAAACGACTATAAGTAAATTAAAAGTCATTATAAAAGATTAATAAAATTCCATCTCGCGCACACGCACACACACACACACACACACACACACACACACACACACACACACACACAAAATCAGAATTAATTTCTCCGCGTATTACACCTCTTCGTTACGCAATGGGGAAAACATATGCATTTGCGTTGCCGGCTGATCGGAATAGTGGTACAGGTCGGCAATAATGGACACATGCAGTTGACGTGATATAATGCATAATTATTTTACGCGTAACATGACACTTGTATGGGAGACCGTTTCTCTTTACGAGATCTTTCTCTCCGCGAGAAGCAGTATAATTTATTTCGGCGATGTTGTCCTCGGAGGTATTGTGTGCGCGACACGGGAGGATCCAGTGGCATTTTCTAAACGCGAGTCCTTGGCGAGATGCACAAACGTCGAGATGCCGACGGGGGCACACGTTCACCGTACACGAGCGCGTGTAATAAATATGGGGAGCCGCATGGGAAACCAGTTTTCGTATTTCGCGTATACAACGGCCTTTCTTCGTCCCGTTCTCTCCCTACCTTTCCGTCGCCTCCGACCTATGCCTCTAGGAGAATCCCAATCCTTGTCTCTTAACTCGATCGCGAGTTTGAGAGCGACTCCGCCAAGTAAAAGTTGGCGAGCTAAAAATCATGGCTGCACTTCTAGGTCACGTTGAGGAGAACGGCTATTAATTGTACTGTTGTTTTTCGGATTTTAAAGACGTCGTTACTTTAATTTTATCGGCCAAGTTTATATCGCGAGGGACCTGCCAAAATAATTCGGCAAATTGATAACTATAGCTCGTGAAGCTACACACTGAGAAAAAAATCTGGTTGCATTAATTAGAATTCTGGTAGATTCAACCAGTATGTCTGTTGGAAAATGGACGAATCAGAATTCTTGTAGGAATTAGCAGATGAATCTGATTAATTTCTTCCTGTTAAATTTATCAAATTTTCTCGTTAATAATACTAAACTCTCCAGCATCAAGTCGTCTAAAATTTTTTCCATCTAATCTCAAAAGTCTGTTTAATATTCTGAATTCCAACACGATTATTGCATAAATTCAATCCAGATTATTGAATAAATTATTTTAAATTCAGTTTGTTAGAAATTAAACTGATAAACAGTGATGCAAGAAGAAGATGCAGCTCAAACACACACAATCAGAGAGCTAGCGTCCTCTTTCTAGCACTACTGCTCGCAAGAGAAAAAAATATACTTTAGATTTAATGTTAATATTAGTTCTTTATATATATTTCATGACAAATATTGAATACGCGTTAAGTTAAGAAGCAAGCAAAGAAATTAATGTAACAAGAAATTTTATAGATCCAATCAGAAAATACTAATCAAATCTTTATAGTAAAATCTATTAAACGTTCTAGTTATAAAAAATCTTATCATGATAATTAGAAATTCTTGTTTGATTTAACCAAAGTGCCTTCAGTCATATACGTCTTGTTGGTACAATCAAACAATTTTTCTCAGTGCGTGAATATATTTTTGTACTGAGAAAAAATCTGGTTGCATTAATTAGAATTCTGGTAGATTCAACCAGTATGTCTGTTGGAAAATGGACAAACCAAAATTCTTGTAGGAATTACCAGACGAATATGATTAATTTCTTTCTGTTAAATTTATCAAATTTTCTGGTTAATGATAACTTTAACTAAACTCGCCAGCACCAAGTCGTCTAAAATTTTTTTCCATCTAATCTCAAAAGTTTAATATTTTGAATTCCAACAAGATTATTGGATAAATTCAGATTATTGAATAAATTATTTTAAAGTCAGTTTGTTAGAAATTAAACTGATAAACAGTGATGCAAGAAGAAGATGCAGCTCAAACACACACAATCAGAGAGCTAGCGTCCTCTTTCTGGCACTACTGCTCGTAAGAGAAAAAAATATACTTTAGATTTAATGTTAATATTAGTTCTGTATATATATTTCATGACAAATATTGAATACGAGTTAAGTTAAGAAGCAAGCAAAGAAATTAATGTAACAAAAAATTTCATAGATCCAACCAGAAAATACTAACCACATCCTTAGTAAAATCTATGAAACGTTCTAGTTAGAAAAAATTGAGTCTTATCATGATAACTAGAAATCCTTGTTTGATCTAACCAAAATGCCTTCTATCATATACATCTTGTTGGTACAATCAAACGATTTTTCTCAGTGCGTGAAATCGAAGAAATTGTTTGAACCGCGCGCCATTTTGCCCGTGGCACCTGGACCTCTAAAGTTTATCGCCGCGATTGCGAAATGCAGATTGTTCGTGACGGACGACGAGAAAAGTTTTTATTATATCTCATCTACGGCCGATGATAAATGTCAATTGCCAATCGGCATTTCGAAGGTGCAATGACCCGCTGCTTCTCCCCGTCCTTCTCATCCGCGCCTTCCCGTTCTCCTCATCTTTTTACGATTGCACGCGCTGCATTCTCATTCGGTCTCTCCTTGAACTACTGCGGATCCTTCGTTCACCGACGTTAAGCTTCACCTTCGACTTCT